GTTTTACCTCTACGATTTATTGTCGCAGTTACTCTACTAACTGTAATTATAAATTAATGTGATTATATTGCTGGGAATTAAGTGCGTGGTAATTAACTTTAGTTATTTGAACTTTGGTATCAGCTGCGTTCCGTGAGTGCGTAGCGATTATATAACTGCTTAGCTGATACTATAAAGTGTCATATATACGATTTGGCTTTAATCAAATTGTTTTGATATTTCAATTGACTGAGTTAATTTCGTTGTCATAATTTTTCTGTTATCTTCTGCAACTGAACTGAACTGGACATCTACAAGTACAACTACAACTACAACTACAACTACAACTACTGCTATACGCATTTCTTTTGTAGTGTAATCTATTGAAGATTTGTCTCCTTGATTTGCTTATCATTCACTTTGACATTGCTTTTCTCTCGTCCAAGTACATATTAGGCAAATTTGGACGCATTTTGTTGGTTATCAAGCGAATGTGCGTACCGCTTAATGGGCGCGGAAAAAGTGCGTGTGATCATGTTGGCATTTTGCTTGGATCATTGTTGGACCTTATTGCTATATCTAAGCAAATCAGCGGAAATAATCTATTATTATTATTATGGCTAGGCAGTCGGTGCCAGGCACGTGTTTAACCCACGATGACCAACTAGAGTTGTTCAGTTGGAGAACTATAAAGGATATATACGAGTGAATTTACTTGACATATTTTGCTATGATTTTTATTGGTAAATATTGGTAAATTATTCAAAAATAATATTTAGTTTAATTAATTTTTATTGACTGACAAAATAAAATAAAAAGACATTTAGCTGTAGTATAAAGTAAGAGTTCAAGAACTGAGATTAATCCATGACATTAACCAATTACTTCATAATTAAAAACCTACCTAATTTCAGATGAAACTGTAATCTAAGTTAGGATATATTACTGCGCCCTTTCTCGATCAGCCAGATGAGCCTTAATTAAAATTTTAGTTTTTTATCTGCTCAAGAGCTGAGCTTAAATTGGAATTTCAGTTTTTTTAATTACTTCTTCCTTTTCGTCACACAGTGAATATATGAAACCAAGCTAAGCTTAAGCTGCACTCTATGTAAGATATTTGATATATTTCAACCTCCTCCTTTTCGCACAGTATAAATTTATTTAACTAAGTTGAACAATATTTGAAATTAATGATAACAATCAAGCAGTTGATGTTGATGTATGGCTATCCTGAAAGCTCAGCACAAAATAATATTTAAGTTATAAATCAATTAAGTTTATACAATTCAATTTCTCTTTGACTAAAATTTGGGTTTGTATCATAGTTTTCTTATACCCATTGTGAACTGCGCTTGAAATGAAAGTTAGTCTCTCTCTCTCTCTCTCTTCATTGGAAGATTTTAATCTCATTCTAATGCCTTATCATTCATTATAAATCATTTATCAATCAATCATCATCATATAGTCGAATTCTGAGCTTCCGTTGCCCATCCACCGATGGCTTGAGGGCCCGTTGCACGTTTGTTCCAAATACTACTGCTTCTTTCTCGAAAGAACACATTCATTTCGATATTTTTGTACATTTCGTATATACGGAAATCACAAGCGCGACTTCAAGGACGTTGCTGATTTATTTATTTATTTACTTTCGGCAGCTCTCTTCTGGATATAGCATCAGCCAGAGAGAAGAAGACACGCTTATCACATGTCATCATTGTTTTCTTTTATTTTCTTTCTACACAACTTTTGTGTGTTTGTTCATTTTTTTTTTTTGCCGTCTGGTCCAAATTGAATTTCAAAATGATTGTATAATTTGGAGCACTTTATAAAGTCTGGATTTCACACCATTTAACTGGCTGTCCAACTGTCTGTCTGTCTCTCTGTCTCTCTGACTGTCTGGCTGCTATGCATTATATGTCTACACATTGTTGAGGCTTGAAATGAAACACCTACATGGTATTTGGGGGGCGGGTGGTGGGCGCGGCCAGACGTCGTCTGTTATGCAAAGTTGCAATCGCATCAAATGCTCAAAGAGCCACAGATCATAATCTCAGCTGGAAAAGAAAAAAGGGAAAGAGAAAGAGATAAAAACGAGCTCTTTCAATCGACAGACCCCCAGAAAGGCATTTAGAATAAATACAACAACTACAACAGCAACAACAACAATAAAAAAAAAAAAGAAACATGCGCGCGACATTTGTCGAGACGTTTATATAATAATGTTTATTTATTTGACTTGTACACACATTTGCATAGAATTTGCCCCACTTCGTGGACAATAACAGAAGGAAAAAAACGCAAAATAAAGAGTCAATCAGAGGCAGTCAAAAGTGTTATGTGGACGACAATTGGAACGCGAAATGAGTCAAAGCCAAAGCCACAAGCCACAGGCCACAGTCAGCAACAGTAGCAGCAGCAGCAGCATTCGATAGTTCATTAATTTCAAGGCTAGACAACGGACCACACACAGCCCCTGGCACGGCTAAGTGAAAACATTGTAATTGGCAGTTAGCCTAGTGGCCAATGTACTAGTTCCCTTTGATCTCATCTAGACAAAACTATTTTTTAAAATATATATTAGAGGCATCTATATATTTAGTTTAAATTTTTTGCAATTTTTTGCTATTTTTGTATCGAAAACAAATTTGATTTTGACAAGGCGGCATGTCTCATGCCAGTTAAAAAAGATTTCATTTGTACAATCGACAGGAATGCTCAGCTGCTCATTAAAAGTTGCGCTGTCCAGCTTTCTCTATATAAATGGGAAGCACTTCATACAGTCCAAAAATCGGTAGCACTCGTAAGCACCCTCACTCTTTCTCTCTATCTCTCTCTCATTAATCAATATATGTGGGGAATGGGTATGGCTAGACAATCTAAATCAGAATTCTACAGCTTTTGTATCTTATATAAAAATATGTTCCTTCCTTACTTTCAATTTCAGATATATATATATATATATATATATATATATATATATATTTTTTTTAATTAATCGATTAATCGTTAACTTAATCGACTTTGTATGATATTTGCCTTAAGTTACTTTCAAGATCTACACCTACTCAAATAAATATGTAAATTAACTCAAAGCCACAGCAGTTAAAGTCGCATCAGCCTTACGATTATAAACTTAACACTTCCGATCGATAAATATCGTTCTGCGTGTAGTGCATCTCAAAGTCGTGCAGTAGCCAACGAAAAGTATTGTTAAGTGGTTTCTGCAGCAGCTGGCAGGTGCTGGCAGATGCCAGTTGGCAGGTGTTTGGTAGTTGGTCTTCTTTGCGGGCAATTAAAATTAAATCGAACTAACTAAACTCACAAGACCAGTAGCTAAAAACAAAAACAAAAGAAAAAGAAACATTTGGTCAATAAACCACTTACTGTTAAAGATTGTGTTTGACAACAATTATCAGAAGCAATTACCGCGTGCGGGGACTATTCTAAAAATAAAAAAATAAGGAAAATAAATAAAACAACTACGAAATACAATAAACGAATATGAGTTGCGTTCAGTTGCGTATCTAACACGCACCGGATCAGTCTGCTTATCAGCTGGCTAGGTGATTGAACCGGGAGCGGAGCACCCGATTATCGAAGCACTATATGTATTTGTACTTATATATATGATCAAATACACAATATCATTGATATTGTGGAACGACACCAAATAAAAAATTGAGCCACGTCTGAGTGGCCGGCTAATTGGTATTTTGGCCAAAGTACTTGCACTGAACTGAATTTAAGCATCAATATAACACATAATTGATATAATTGTAAAGTGAGGCAGTGGGCAGAGCTGGAATAGGAGAATGGGGAGTTGCGGGAGCAGGGGATGACATGGGGGGTACTGCATGAGATCAGAAAATAACATGAGTCGGTAGCATCATCAGCAGAGCCGCACGCCAGAGGTCTATTAAAAATACATACATGATTTTAACGCAGACAGCACAGCTCCAGACCAGACTGGCCACAGTTGCAGCACCACCAGTAGCAGCAACAGTGGCTGTGGCAGACACAGACCAAGTCAATAAGTTGGTTAGTTAGCCGGTTGCTGTTGTTGCTGCTCGAGCGAACAGTGCCCCGCACTTGGGTGTTGCCGGTTGTTGTTGTTGCTGTTGCTGTTGCTGCTGATGCCGGGTGCAGTAGCCGAATGCAGTTGTCGTGATTGTTGTCTCAGATTGCATGTGGAATGCAAAGACCAGGAGCCAATTTGTTATTGCTGTTGTGTTATGCCCGCTGGCTGGCTACCGTTGCAGCCGCCTCTTCGTGCTGCTGTCGTTCAGCTGCTGCTGCTACTGCTGCTATTTCTGCTTCTTCTTTTACCTTATATACCCTTGACATGAGTCTGAAGATTATGTGAAACGAGCAATGACAATCAGCTGAAAATGCCTGTTAAGTAAATATAGACAGTACTCAAAAGGTAAAATTAACTATATATTTATAGACCTATAGTAAATTTGGTATATTTTGTGCTGCATCATAAATCATAATGTTTGTTTATTTGACTGTGTCACGTGTGTATAAATATAGATGACTCAATAACAAAGAGGCATTGATAAAGAGAGTGAACTGGAGCTAGGGATCTATAAACGAAAATCATTGATAAGCATGAATAAATGGGCCATTAAAAAGAACTCAGAGAGATTGCAGAATTATTTGTAGATAGAGTGCTTGAGGCAGAAACTATAGATAAGAATCTATAGCAGCAAGTGCTTGAATATTTTCCATTGATATGCTTTAAATTGAAAATTAAAAACGTATATAGAAAAGATTTTATTAAAAAAACTTTTTAAATTTAAAATTTTATTTCTTATGATAAATTAAAAAGTTGTAAAAAAATTTTGTAGTTAAAAATAATTTACATAAAAAAATGTGTTGTATTATTTTAAATTTTTGATTATGTAATGTCCAATGTGTTTGTAGAGTATTCGTAAATCAATGTCAAGGCAAATTGGCATGTTTTTTGCATTTCTGGTTGTTATTAATTTTCGTGCATTTTGGTTTTCTTCGGTTTTTAGGACTTTCGCGTGCCGTCGTTTGGCTTCTGCCCAGCACCAATCAGGCAGAGCCAGAGCCAGAGCCAGAGCTGGTGCCAGTGCCGGTGCCAGCGTCAGCCGGAGTGACGATGGAGACTGCAGACTGGAGACCCAAGAATCAGAGACCCCAAGCCAGACAGCCCGTCGCAGACGCTCAACGGGCCGCGAGTAGCATGGGACAGGGGTCGGGGTCGAGGCCGAGGTAAGTAATGTTGATGTTGGCATTTAAGCAGGCGTGTAGTCGCATCTTGTTGATTGTCAAAATTGACAATGAATGCGCCTCACTCGCACAGATAGTGTGAGAGTGTAAGAGTGTAAGTGTGAGCGTGAGTGTGTGCGGAGTGTTTCAGCCAAGGGAGTAGACAAGTGCATATATCTCACATGTCTGCCGTTTGTCTGGAGGCCGTCGCAGACATTCGCTGATGTTGATGTGCATGTTGATGCCAATGCTGCCGCTGCTGCTGCTGTTGCTGCTGTCCTTAAGAGTTGCATCCAAATATGGACCATTGCCTGCTGCTGCTGCTGTTGCTGTTGCTGTTGCTGTGGCTGCTGCATGTGGCCTGTGGCAGGTGAATAAGGTAGTCGGCCCAGACGCCTTGGCTGCTGTCCGGGCATGGGCATATAGTTTGCTCTCTGCCTGCCTGCAGTTTCACACTTTGCATTTCTAAAAGTTATTTAAATGATATGCACATGCAATTCACAGTAGTTGTTGTTGTTGTTGCTGCTCTCGTCTGGCTGCACTAGCTGTAAACTGAGACTGCCAGCAATTATGAGCGTCTGGCTGTCTGCCTTTTACAATATTTTTAACATACAATACATACATATATATTTATATATGTACATATATATTTCTGTATTTTTTTTTACTTTTTTTTCCTGCTCTTTTAATTATCTGATTTCTAAGCGAGCCACGGCAAGGCAAGAGATAGCCATCGCACATGTGCGGAGTTTAAAATTTCAATTTGGCCACCAAATTGTCGCCGCTGTTAATTGCCTGTGTCAGCCATCTTGGCCGGATGACTAAGCAGCAACATGCAGCATGCAACATGGAAGAGCAGCAGCAGCAGCAGCAGTCGGCCGTCTCCAAGCTGTTGTCTCCTGTCTCCCGTCTGTCTGTTTGGTCTGGTCTTGGCCATAAATTAATGCATAATTATGTGTCTCCGCGGCCCGATGGTAGTAAAAGTGAAATATAATTCAGATTTCCGATGAAACGAAATTAGCTAAGGACAGTTTGCACACATGCTGCTTGCACACATTGTGGCCATTTCTAGTCTATTGAATGGGGCACCTGTTGGGCCTACTTACAGCCAGCTCAATCAGAGCTAGAAGGGGAGGCTGCCGAGGTGCAGAAGGGCAGAACTTCCAAGCTGCGCAAGCGTAGCACGTTAATTTTAAGCATTCGTCGCGTAAAAGGCAATCAAATAAATGAAGATGCAACCCAGGCCTTAAATGGTGCAAAATAACTCAAGACATTCCCTAAGAGCCTACGTGCATAACGATGCTCAGTCAGCACCTACCTCAGCCTCCACCTCTCTCTCTCTCTCTCTCTCTTGCTTTTGGCTCTTCTGCTCCGTTTTCTTCTTTTCTTTTCATTTTTTTTGTGTCTTATAAATAAAACTACGTCTCTATAGGTTCGGGGTTGGTGTCTTTCTGCTTGCAGCTTATTTATAGGGCAGTCGGCGCGTGCCGGCACGCATTTAACCATGGTCACATACATATGCATATGTATATGTGTATTCACAGTGCCTTTGTCCACGTGGCTGTGCGAATTAATTCATTGTGCGCTGTGCATAGCCTCTGCTAGTCGAGTCTGGCAAATGAATGAAATATCGTTTATGGTAATTTTTGCCTTAAATGTCTCTGAATGTGTGTGCTTGTGTGTGTTTGTGAAAAAAAGTTCTGCTAACTATGCTAATGACTGACTGTTCATCGAGGCTCTGTGCTGCAGCTGGAGCACAGGGTGTTTCGTGTGCAAAGCATATATTTTATTGCATACTTTGCGGCAGTTCGAATTTAATTGTTGTGAAGTCAATTTGAGTTGAGCCTGTTGCGAATTCTGTACATACAAAACTGTAATGTACATACATATATACTCAAAAAGTATATCCATTCTATATTAAAATTCTGACGTAAGTCTAGCTCATGCTTTGCTCTACTTTTCATTGATTTCCGACTAGTTTTAGTTTATATATATCCCACACACATACATATATATTTGTAAAATGTGCGACATGGTCTGTACTTATGATCCTGCATGCCCGCCGGCTGCACGAATAAAGGGTCGCCTGTTCACTGTACTGTTGCTTTACTGTTGGCAACGCGAGTACGATAAGCGGCCGTACGAGAACTTTCAGTTTCGTCGCTTGGACTTTGAGGAGCGCATGAATCGTCGCTATCACTGCATACGTGATTTTCGCACCATTGTGAACTTTTTGCTACAGTGTCAAATGCATTCCGTGTCCATTTGGAGCGTGGGGCTTAGCAATTGGGATGCGCGTCTGTTGCAGGACTTTGTGCTGTCGCTGCAGTTCGTGCGGCAGATTGAGCTAAAGCTGATGCGTTTGCCCCACGAGTTCTTTGTCATGCTGCGCCTCAAGGCGCCCAAGATGAAGCTCAAGGAGTTGAGCCTGGAGGGTAAGTGCTGAATGTCCGTTGATGAAGCGCCCCATTCTATGGACAGTCGACAATATTATGCAGGCACGCCACTCACCAGCGACGATGCGCGCATGCTGCGGGAATTTCTGCTGGCCAGCAAGACGCTGCATACGCTGAATGTCTGCTGCTGCAGCTTGACCCAGTACAACTTTGCCGATGTGGCGGACGGAGTGTACAAGTCGGCGAGTGTGCGCTGCTTCCACGTAAGCCGACTGCTGGGCGGCGGCCTGACCCTGGATACAGAGAAAATGATTTCGATTGTTGGCTCGCTGATGATGCAACATAAACTAACGGAGCTCACACTACAGCTGTGCGAATTCGTTGCCCAGGATATGGAGACCATTGCCGAATATCTGCAGAGTAAATACTGTACGCTGCGCAAGCTCAATGTAGCCAACAATCTGATATCCACGGATGGCGCTATGTTCTTGATGCGCGGCGCTTCCAAGGGCATCTCGCTGGAGGTGCTCGACATCAGTGGCAACTGCATCGGCTCGCATGGCGGCGAGTGGGTGGCCATGTACTTCAGTGCGTGCAAAATGCTGCAGTATTTGTATCTGAATAACAATGAAATCGGCGCTGCGGCAGTCAATCTCATTCTGTTGGCCCTGAAGAAGCCGTGCCGCATGAAACGCCTGCAGCTCTATGGCAACAAGTTTGATGGGCGCACGGCCATGATTCTGCGCCGACTGCTGGATGCCGAGGTGGTGCTGCAGGAGGAGATCGACATAAGCTATACGTACGATGAGGCGCTGCAGGACTATCGTGTTATACCTTGGCGGTAGAATTTGGTGTAGTCCAAGGATACCTTTTATTTTCTTTGTTAAATAAAAACAAATCGACAGAGTGAGTTGAGTAAAATAAGTTACATATTAATTAATTTAATTTAATTAATCAAATGCTTCCATTGGGTGGCTGCTTTAACTGCCGCTTTAACTGACTGCAGCGCCATCTAGCGAAGGCTTTGGGTAGCTTCGAAGCACGTGCATAAAGTTGGTCTCAGCGCGCTCTCTCACTCTCTCTCTCTCTCTTCCTGTCCCTCGTTCTTACCCTGCATAGCTGTTGTTGCTTGGCAGACATGAATGAAATGTCAGAGTTGCCAGACTGCTGTTGTTTTATGCAATCACTGACATGACCGTTATAATTCAGTTTGAAATCGGAGTTTATTTTATGGCGAGTGATGCTATAACATCTTTATATTACTAGCTCACATTTAAGCCACAGCCGATTTGCTGTTTGTTCGCTTGTTGTTGCCTGGAACTTGATTTGACAGTCTGGCAACTTTCGCTTTCGTTTCCGGCTTTTTTGTTGTTATTCTGAGTGCGCAGCCTGTGCTTGTGTGTGGGCGAGTGTGTGTGTGCATTATTGTTGGCGATTTCAAAGTCAAACGCCAGCAACAACAACAACATAATGCGCAGCAAACAGCTGCGAAGCATTGAGCACAAAACTTCAACGGCAAATAGAACGCGAGACGAGGACAACATCGGCAGACGACAGGACAACGACGACGACAACGACGGCGGCGGCAACGACGACGACGACGACGAGGACGCCAACGTTATCCTTGTTGAGAGTTTTGCAATATATTTGTATTGCAGCAGTCTCAACGAAAGCGTCGAAGCAACCAACTCGCAGCCCAATCGAAAACCCGCTCGAAACGTAACCGAAAAGTAAATGTGAAATGCAACCAATAAAGGAAAACTGTTTCCAAATTAATTGAATTTAATTACAAAACGATTGCAATTGACTCTTTGCGTACATTTGTGTGTGCTGTGTGGAAAGTTGTGGTTCGAACTGTAGTTTTGCCAGTTTGTTGTTATTGTTGTTGCTCTTGTTGTTGTGATTGCTGTTGTTGTTGTTGTTGTTGTGTACAGCTGTTGAGAGCGAAAACTGTGCGGCAATTGAAAGTGAATCCTATAGGAAATGGCAAATTATCAAAAGTGTTTTATTTTTTTTATTTATAATTAATATTAAATACTATGCAATGTATAATAAAAAAATACATTTCTCCATATACAAAGGACTTGAGCTAGTATTAGAGAATTATTTATTTAAATATAACTTATTACATATAATATATATATGTTTATTTTGTTTAACTTAAAAACGTATTTTATTTTTATATTTACTCTATTATTTTTTTAGACGTATAACTTTAATTTAAAAATAAAAATTATTAAAGTATTAAATTCAATAAAAAAAATTATATATTTTTTTTATTTATTCGCTATATTTATTCCACTTCAATTTTTATTAAAAATATTGATTTTATTTTGCCAAAAATATTGCTAAAATTATTATTGTTTATATAAAAGTGAGTGTCAATATTTGCAACATGAAAAACTACAAGATTCAAAGTAATATACCAAAAAACCACAAAAACTTGTATTTTGAGTGCTGTCAAAAATAACTTTTGGAAGTTATTTGTACACATATTTGGGTAGAAAGTTTTTAAATTATGAAAGTTTTTCTTTCATTTGATTTAATAGTTTCATTTTTAACATGTCCATTAACTTCTCAGGCAACTGGTGTTTTCGTTAAATGAGTTTTCCAGTAGCATTTTCATATGGTCGCTGAGTGCAGTCAAAGGCCGTGAAGCAGCTACAGCGGAAGCGAGACCAAACACCACCCACCTGAATCCAAAACTAAACTTGAGTTAACTTAACTAAACTGAACTCGGGCGCAACACTAAAATCTAAGCCCAACAACTAAGGCACTTGCTGTTCAAACTTTGGCCATAACACTCGCAGCAAGACGGCAAAATGAACGACAGTCGACGCAACACGGCAACGGAATTCAGCTACATACTGCAACGGCAGGTGAGTGCTTGCCACACGTTGTAAATAGTAGCACATATACACCCACAAGCACACACATGCACACACACACACACCTGTACATTCACATCACACATCCTCGCACCCTTTATTAATTGCATGCATTTTTGGCTGCCCGGAAGCCTTTTTTGGAGTCCTTCATGTTGTGGGCAGTGCTTGTTGGTCTTTTGTGTGTGCCTGCAACATGTTCATTGTTGCAATTTAATTGCGAGCAATTGCGCTCATTAACTTGCCACAATGGCTGCGCCAACAGCAACTAATTGCAACCGCATCAACCAGCAACTGAGCAATTGGGCAATTGCTCAAGAGCAGCAGCAGCAGCCGCAGCAGCTCAGCAAGTGCGTAATTTGATGTTTTCACAAGAAGCCAGGCACAAAGTTCTTCTTCCCTCCATCGTCCCCTCCATAACAAGACCCACTTTGTATTACTGAGAAAATCTATAGAGTGCACTCTCCACTTTGGTTCACTTGGCACGATTTAATCAAGCATTTATTTATTGGGCTTTCCTTGTTGGTTGCACATGGCGTATGCTTAATGGGCTTTTTTTCATGAATTAATTGCTTTTCGCTCGAACAGATTATCATGCTTGATTTTCAACATGCGTGGAAATCAATTTTAATGCATGGCCAAATAAAATATACATATGTAATGCATATATATGTATATATCAATGTAATTGCATGTGTTTGTGTCTCTGTCTCCCTGCTTGTGTGTGTGTGTGTGTGTGCTCATGCATATGCTACATGTGTTTTCACAGTTTGCACATTTATTTATTTATCTTCTTGTGCAGTATTTATCATTTTCACAGCATGCACATGCCAACATGTTGATAACTGAAATGCATTGTCAGGCAATCAATTTTAGGGTTTTTCCTCATTTTTATTACATTTCATGGGCATGAGAGTTTGCCTCACGAGAAACACGACAAAGTCACGAGAATTTAGTTTGGGCAAATATTAATGAACAGGCGATTCGACTGGGCGCTAGACATCTAGAAGTCTCTGGAGTATAATAGAAATTATAGTTGGGGCTACGGTTTGGGGCTTAGTTAGTTAGGGTTTTTCTTTCACATTGCTATTATGATATTTGATATATAGATATGTATATATAAGTCTTATTAAATAATAATGAATAATTAATATATTTTTCGCTACATCCAATTTTACAAGTAAAATGTATTTAAATGATCTTTCAGTTTAGTCATTGAAAAGAACTTTCCATACATATATCAGTATTGTGGCAAATATGCAAAATATTTATACACATAGTAGGCTAATTCAATATTTTACCCTTTTCTATGATAAGCGCAGCATATATACATATTTATAGATACGACAAGGTGCCTTGACTACAAGTTCTGTTCGCTCTACATATGCAAATATTACAGTTTTCGAATTGAATTACTGCAAATATGTTAATATGCAGCATTTAATTTTGAATTTAATTCAATTTGCATTTTAATTAATACTTTTGCCCTGGCTGCTTTATCTTTCGCTCGCATCAGGACGATGTTCATTGGCAGCCAAGTCACGCGGTCAACTCCGATTTACATACATATGAATACTTTGCAAAATGAATTCCGATGAAAGCCCCAACAGTATATGTAGTAGCATGCCAATACACGGACACATGCTTATATATCTCCAATGATATATGCATAACTGTGCGTCGATGTGTGCAGAAGCTATTGACGTGCCGATAATCCCTTAAGATTGTTAAAATACAAACTCAAGCGAATGTTTGGGACCGTTGGGTCTGGGCTGCGGTTGAGTCTGACACAAAATTCATTAGAGCTATGGTGTGTCTGTGTGTGTGTGTGCGAGCTGTATATAAAACTGTGCAAATAAACAATCTGAGGATTATCTTGGCAATTGGCTTGCGTGTGCGCCCAATCGAGCAAACTGTTAAATCATGAATGAAATCAATTTGTTTTCGGCTGCCTTTAATGGCGATGACGGAGCGACAGCAACAGCATGGACGACAACAACAACTGTAGCACGCAAATTACACACGCCCGGGGCATTAAGACAATGACACACATCAACAAGAGCAGCTCGACAGCTAATACAGTTTTGATTGAGTGATAACTCAATATGTATCCATATTGTCTGCCAGCTCTGCCCACAGGAAAATTAATAAATCACATGCAACACACACACGCACACACGCACGCACACACATGCTTATGATTAATGAAGGGTGTTCGAGTCCGTGTGTGGGCGTGAGTGTGTGTGCGTGGGATACACCACAAGAACTTGCAACCTTATGAAACGTACCTTATTTATCGTGGGTATTGTGACCTTTGCTGGCTGTGCACAATTTGTCAGCTCCTGTTTTGTCTGCCAAGGGAATTGGCCTAACCAAAAAAAGAAAAGTGTCAGAAGGAATTATGGGCATGTCCTACAGATTTAATTAGGCGTGGCGAATCTTGGGATACGGCTGTGAGTGCAGCCGTTTTTATCATAAAATCGATAAATCGCGCGCGCGTCTTGAGCTTTAATTACACTCACACATACACACACAGGGAGAGACTCACTCGTATCTAGATGCTGCGGCATTTGCGATGCCTGCTGCACATACTGATGAGCTTGTGCAGCATTGTTATGATGGCCATGCAACAGCATGTGGCATGCGGCATGCGGCATAGCCAGAAGCTTCTGCTTAATCGTCGCTTAATATGCATGGCATGCGGCTCGGAGTGCGACCTTAAGGCCTTGCCAGGCCACGACTAGCAGCGCATTGTGTCTTGGCAGCGCCAGGAAGCCAGGCGACGGCGACGGCATTCGCATTGTTTAAATATCAAATAAAAACGTCAACGCCACTCGCAGCACTCGCATTGTCAACCTCAAATCCCCAACCACAGCCCAACAACAAGTTGCGATAAGAGAAATCAATGTCGTCTGCATCAGCCGTTGCATACAAATGCGAGTGCAGCGCTTGTGGCAACACGTGCACAAGGTGCAAATATTGATACACCTGTTCCAGGCACAAAGCCCGCAATTCACAGCCACTTGATATCTGTGTAAGCCAATCGGCTGACAGACCAGCTTAACAGCGAGCAGCTACAGTTAACCCAAGATGAAATGCTGCTCGAATATGATTCGGCTAGAGGACATTAAATAGAATCTACAGCTAGAGCTGCTTAAGAGGATTCTTAAAAGGCTTATATAAACATGGCTTAAGAGTTGAATAAATTCAAAGTGAGTCATGAAATGCGAGTGAAATATTTTAATATTTCTGAGTAGTAAAACTGTTTATTATCTGAGTTTATTAATATATCCGTCATCATATTAAAATATGAAACTATTTTGATGCCAAAGAGAATACCAACTCCAAGTGCTGGTTAGTCAGGTCAGGTCCCCGCCTTAATCACATATTTACAAACAGTTTATAGCAGAATAATTGCATTCGTTAACAACAACTTAATTGAAGGACAATGCAATTGCACCATTCGCTGGCATATAAATAAAATCTACGCCAGAAAGCTGTTTATTAATTCAATTATGGCTCTATGCAAGTGGCTTTTCAATAGTTGGCAAAGGATTTCCGTCCAAAGCGTAAGCCATGTGCATGGCAGTAAAAATAGCAATTGCCTTGGGGCGTAAATGTGTGGAGCAAAACAATATTAAGTATACGCCATGCTTGGCAGCATTTGCTGAATGCTTTTGACATTTACTTGTGCTCAACGTGTCGTATGCGCAATGTGACACAAGTCGAGGGCCGGCCAGGCGCATGCATTAATTTTAAGTGAAATTGACCTAATTGAATGGCCACATCCCTGCCCATTGACCATGGCCCATTGACAAATCAAGAAATCGTCGAAGAAATCCATTTAAAACAATTCGAAGGCCAATGCGGCGCCAGAGACGACAGCGGCAGCGGCAGCGGCAGCGGCAGCGACGTCATCGTCTTTTCCATTTCACTTTTCACTTTTTCTCTGACACCGACAGTGACTAAGTGCATACCAGTGGGCGCTGTGTGTGTGGGCGTGACGTACAAATCAAACCGAAGTGCAAACACAGCGCCGAGTCCGAGTGCATGTTATGCAATGCATCAAGTGCATAACGTGTTGCACATGTCACGACTGTCGAAGGAAAGAGCTGAACGATGTCAGAGACTTTGATGTGCTTTATATACATATACATATATATATATATAATCTATAAAATGGCACATTGCGTGCATTCAACAGCTGCTGCTAAAGATTTTTGTTTTCCTCTGCTGTTTTTTTTTTTTTTTTGAGCCCATTATCTGAGTAGACGAGCAATAAAAATCTCAAGCCGCACATAAAAAATGGCCAAGTGCGAGCCAGGGCAGTGAAAGCGTTTCTTAGGTGCGGCCGGGCAACGGCTAAAAGCCATTGGCATGCCCCCCACCCCCCGTTAACGCCCATGCCACCTAGCGCCCTCTCTGGGGATGGCTTTGCTGCTTTAAATGGTTTCGATTTCACGTTCATGCCGATTTTATGCCTCAGTGATGGATTCAGCGAGTGTGTATGTGTGCGTGTATCTCTGTATCTGTGTGTGTCTGGTGGCAAAACAATAAAAACAAATGCGCTCTGGGCCAACTGTATATCTGAGGCTCTGGCTGTACCTCTTCCCGTAGCGCGCTGTCTGTTCGCTGCTCTGTGGCCTCTGTATTTGTGTATATCTTGGTAACTGACGGCGACGCGAAACAATAATATCGGCAAAAAAATGAAGAAAAGGAAAGAGAAAGAGGAGAAAATCCCATTCAAAGTGCGAGCGGGGGCGGGAGCAAGCGTAAATGGCAGCAGCAAGTCCATTGGGCTGAGCCACATTTCTACATAAAACAAGTGCAAATGTTGTAAGCCCAAGTGTATAAGCCGTCGTTGATACCCTGTGCTCGCAGCTCCTAAATCAGAGCTTAGTTAGTGCGGCGGCAAACCGACTGACGGAAATATCAAACAAATTTAGGTCTACACAGCGGATAGTGATAGAGAGAGAGGGATGATAATATTGATAGATAATAATGGCAATATTAATGGATATTCATTTGAAGCAGAGCTTCTGTAGGTTGGAATGAATCGCTTTTTTATTGTCGTGTGGCATCCAATTTTTTATAAGATACATACATATATATTTTTTTATTTATTTTTTTTTTTATTAAAAATATTTATAAAAATATTTTTAATCGATTAAGACAATTTGCTTTGCCATAACTTCCATGATATTGTTAGTAAATACCGAATTTTAGTGTTCTGATGATTTGTCTATTAGCTAAATTTTACCCAGATTTAAATAACTTGATTTTATATTTTTAATCTTTTGGGCTGATATCCTATGCTTCCTTCCCAACCTTTTTTTCCTTCAATAAAGCAACAAAAAATCTAAATCAAGTCCTTATTGATTACCAAATCAAGGCAGCCTACCTCAATATTTTACCTGCTCATGCACAAAATCAATATACCCTACATGCATTTCTGGCTGGGTAAATAAAAACACGTGTTCAATCTACGTATATATTTGGCATGCGAAATATATTGTTATTTGCTCTCTCTCTCTCTCTTTCCACTCTCTCTCTTTTACTGCTTGTTGTTGCTATTGTATCTGTTGTTGTTTTTTGTTGCCTTTTGCAATGCATATTTTGATAGCGCATGATTTTTTATGGCCCACTCGCACAAATCGCACACTTTGCACAGCCGAATGGCATTTGCCGTGGCTAAGGGACGTCACTGCATTCACCCCTAACCCGCTCCCCCCTTGAAACGAACTTGATTAAATGACTAACAATTTGATTTGCAAAATCGATGCTGCGTTGTTTTTTGTAGGGCAGCGATGTGTCCGCTGCTGAAGCATATGCATTCGACGACTTCAACAATTTAATGAAGGTAATAACTGACCCAGATTCTCCTCACCCTAACCCTGGCCATGCCCCTGCCCCTGCACCCACCAGCAACATGCAAATCGTCATGTCTTTGCATACATATTCACATTCACATTCAACGAATTCCAAATGCATAAAAAACACACACACACACTTACATAGAGATTGAGCGAGAGAGAGAGAGAGCGAGAGGGAGAGCGAGCTTTGGGTGCTTAAAATTTCTGGCATTGGCCGCAACCTTCTCGAGAGTTGGCGGAAATTTCACTTGGTCTGCGGCATCAAAGAATTTTCTTCTACTATTCTAAATATTTTCCGCCTGACGCGCCGCCTCCGCCTCCTGCTGCCCCACATCCAGCTCTTGCTCTCTTTATTAAATTTCATTTCAATTTGAGTTTATTAAAAATCCAGTTGAGCTGATGATGAAAAATGAAGTGCAATTTACTTTCTTCTGCTCGTCTGTTCGTCTGCTCTTCTGCTCTTTCCCTTTGCTTTTTTGACATTAAATGAATTCTGTTTCTCCTTTGCTATTCAGTAATATATGTATAGATATATAGTACATAGTATATATGTCTGCTGAGGTGCAAATATTTAACTTTTCTTTCGGCTTTATGCTGCTTTGAATGCGCCATCTTTTATTTCGTGCAGCTTTAATGGCTTAACTTGTCCGAGATCCTGAAAGGGCGAATTCTGTTTAATTTTGCATGAAATTTGCATTTCTGAGATTTGGCCTTAAAGCGCATAAGCAAAGTCTAGATAAACGCGGCTATCTCTGGAAAGATCAAAGCGGCTTTGCTTAATAATGAGATAAAACGTTTTGTTCTCAATCAAATTGGCTTTCAGAAGCAGGCAGTGGATATTTTAATCATAATTAAATTTAATTACAACTAGAAGCTGAATCGAAATTTCTCATCTGAAAAATATATGAAATATTCTCTTTTACACATATTTAAAGGCGCCAGCTTTAAGAACTCTTGCTAAGCTCTATGCTAAAAGCGAATTTTTAATGTCTCAAAGGATATTCAGAGGCATTTAAAGCCTGAGAGCCGCTTGTGATTGTGGGAAGAAATAACATGCGTACCAAAAACTTTGCAGCAAATTTCATTTCTGCTTGAGGACAATGGCAGAAAAAGAAAAAAAAAAAAAAACAAAGTTGTGTAATTTGATATGTTGTTGCACGACCATGCATAGCAAATGTGTGCGTGTGTATGTGTGTGGGTGGCTGTGCGTGTGCTAGCATTGTTTTCGTAGGCTCACACTGAAAGTGTTGGCATTGCCATTAAGCCTAACAAGGCTGCCCAAAAAGCACAGCAAGGCTCAACATTAAGAACAAGGCAGAAAAAAAGCAGGAGAGGAAGAGGAAGTGGAAAAGCAAAGCAGGCAAAGACAGGGGAAAACTAAAATCCATGGCCAGAATGAAAGCGAAAGCAAAAGCGAATTCTCAACCCGGACACACTAAGTAGCTGATTGTTTGCCCAACTAATGGCTAGCCAGGCGCAAGGCGCAAGGCACAAGACGCAAGGCCAGTTAGAGCCAGAACGCAGCAAATGGGCAGCGGGGGGAGAGGCGAGTGGTGGTTGCAACAAATTGACAAAAACGAAAGCTTGTGTACGTAATTTATGTGCAAGTTTTGCTAAAAAGCATTCAAATAACTTATTAATTGGCAAGTGGCTTGGCCGAAAAACTAATTAAATTCGTGAAGCCAGCCGGCAATTGCCAAGCCAGAGTCAGCAGATCGAAATGGCAAACAGTTAAAAGCAAGACAAAAGACCAAAACACAACGGCAAATGGCCATGGCAGAAGGTCACAAAGAACAAAAAAAATCTATTTCCTTATTGTTGTTGTTGTTGCTGTTGCTGTTGTACGTGTGTTGGACAGGTTGCTGCTGTTTACTCTACGGCAGGGGCGAGGAGCAGGGGTCTAGATGGCTTGTTGTATGGCTGGCTGGCTTGTTTGTTTATCTGCATGTGCAACAACAACAACAACAATCAACAATCAACAACACCAACAAGTCAACAAGCCACACACACACACACACACACACACACACAAAAGCGCAGCTCGACATTTGCCATGCGCATAATTGCGGTTGAACATTTTGGTTAGCGCATGTTAATTGCAGCAGCTTACGGTCCCCAGCCACACCACCTGCTCGCACCTGCCCCCACTTCTGTGTGTGTGTGGCATGCCTTTACATGATATTGACATTTGTGCCTAAACGCTTTTGCCACAACAAATTCAAATCAAGCAAGCGACACGTTTTCCTCTTTTTTCCACTTGTCCAATTTATTTTTTTTTCCGTTGACACATTTTTTTTTTTTTTTTCCATTTGAGTTTTAGCTTTTTGACCTGCTCGCGCCTAATTTCATTAGCCAAACAAATTTCTGCAGTTTACTTTTTTACGTGCTTGAGGTGTATTGGTGTGTGCGTGTGTGTGTGTGTGTGCTCCACTGAGCAGCTGGCATCAGCTACATGAATATTATTAATTAAAATCGTGCAGTGCATGAAAAGGTTTGTTTGCTTCCTAGCTGAAGCATTGGATTGGCCCGGTTAGTCATTGGCTAACTTTAAGTCTGTGTGTGTGTGAGTGTGGGTGTCTGTATTTGTGTTTGTGTTTGTGTTTGCTGTAGACAATGTTTGCCTTTTATTAGAAACGTGTACCTGGCCTCAGTTTGCTCTACGTGTGTGAGTGTGTGTGTGTGTGTGAAAATGTCAGGCAATGCCTAAACTCTTTCTCGGGCTTTAATTTGGTATATATGTATGTAGTGTGTGTAGCTCTGTAAGTGTGTGTGTATATTGGTCAAGGAATAGCGAATAGAGAATGCAGAGGCATATGAGTTTTTGTTCTAGTTGCATTTTATTTAAAATGAGTTTTGAAAATATGGAAATGTTTTGATTATCATAAAAATGTAAATAAAAGGGGGTCCGAATATTTTTTCCAAAAATAAGTTCCCATTAGCTCTTAGCTCTTAGCTCTGCCCTACTCTCTTCCTTTGTGTCTATGACTCCATGTTGTTAATTCTCTGTCCCTCTGCATCTAGCTCTCTCTCTCTCTCTCTCTCTTGCTCTACATCGAATGGTCTGCTTGTGCTCTCTCTTTTATATTTCTATCTTTCGTCTTTCTCTGCGTCCATCCCACTCTCTCTTTCACTATCTACCTCTCTCTGCCTTTCTCTTTCTCTTTCCCTTTTTTCCCTTTTCTAGAGTAAGAGGATCTATACCTCCCTCTTTACCACTCTGTTTCTATCTCTCACTCTCTTAGACTCCAATTATCAATCCCTCCATCTCTTTCTCCCTCTCTCCCGTATCACCCACTCTGCCCAAACAATTCACACACCAATTTATTCTTTTATTCACTTAAAGGGAGCTTTACTTGAATTCAAATGGAATACAAATGCGAGAATAAATTTGATAAAAAGCGAGCCGCCTAAATATTTGTACCTTTCCACGTAGTCGAGTTCAATCGAATTCCATTTCCATATAAATTATGAAATCTCTGCTTGGCAGTGCATTTCATAGTCGCGCATGCCGCCTCCTGCCTACAGCACTTTTATTTGTAATTTCAGTTATTTTCCTTCTCTTTCTTTCTTTATTTATTTCATGTTGCCTTTTGCGCTTCACACGCTTTGGCTCAATTGAGTTTCGACCTGAGCAGGTTGGCAGCTTTTGCTGTTTTTTCTGCTCTCTTTTGCTTTTCGTTTTATTTTTATATTTTTGTCTGCTTTATTTTTGCATTATTTTTTGTTTTGTGCTGCTCTTTGGGAAATTAATTGGATTGCGAGCTTTAATTGCTTGGCAGGGAGTTTGGGCAAAGGCTGACAAATTATTTATGGGATTGTGTGCATGGCAAATAAATATGTATGTATGTGTGTGTGGAGGCTTTAAGTTTCTGGTTAACAGCAAAACTGAATAAAATTGAGTGCTCTGTGCGCGAACATGTGTCAACAAATAAATGCCTTGAGTAGAGCCTCTAGAGAGTGTAAATATTAAGTATGCACGGGGCACGCATAATAATTATGTGGCATTCACGTCGTCGTCTTATCAGGACGTCCCTTTTTTACATATTTCATATTTTATACTTTACTCTTTATAATATGCTCCCTTTTATGGCTGACAGCACTTTTCGGGCCCTTGCACAGAGTGCGGGCAGGAATTTTTATTTATTCTTATAATGCTTTTTCCGCATCTCCTCACTCTCTCTCTCTCTCTCTCTCTCTCTCGCTCTCTCTCTCTCTCTCTCTCCTTTTTTTCAACATTATGCGAGTGTAGGCACCTGTCAGAGGCTTTACATATTTAATGCCCTCAGTTTGGCATTCCCATTCGTGCGGCGATGCCAATTCGAATTCAAATGATAAGCGAAACGCTTTAAAAACATGTTGTATTATGCGAGTGTTGAGCAGTTGCGGCATTTACAGGATTTGTCAGCTTGCCACTCGTAAAGGCGGACAATAACAATGCGTGTTATAAATTAGGCATTTAAATGCGACCATTCAGCGCTCACGTGTGGCAAACCAGCAGACATACAGACAGAGTGAGAAAGGCCAGCCTTACTTCGACTTGTTCGCTCTGCTCTGCCAGATTAACGAGCAGTCAGAACTTTGTTGTCACTCCGCCTCCGGTTGGTTCTGGCTTTTGCTGTGGCCGCAATTTGTTTTGGCGGAAGGACACTTTGTAATTTCATTTTTGGTTGTCCTTGCCCGACCCGTTTACATCCTTGGCATTGAGTTGAGAGTTGAATTACACGGCTCTGTTTCGCTTTTCTTATCTCTGTCTCTTTTCTGTCTCAGTTTTTGTGTGCATTGTTATTGTGCGTGTGTGTGTGTGTGGTGCAAACATTTTTAATAGTTGGCCAACGCCTATAATTAGCCACTTGCTTTGATACTAAATGGCATTTTTAATGGCACTCCAGCCACGTGCCATGCGTTGTACGCCCCCTGCCGCCCATCGCTTACCTGCTCGCTGCTCTATAAAGTATGCAATGAACTCTGCCACCTGTCGCCACTTAATTGAATTGAGAAACCCAAGTCGCACGTAATTTGCTTTTGAAAATTTTCAGTACGCAGCGCCATGCCCCAACGCCTACGCCCAGCTGCACGGCATGCTGCAGAAGGCCTTTAAAGTAGCTACGACCAAATATTTGCTTTACGGTTTTAACTCGCAACTTTACCAGACAGAGCGACACAGCTGCAGAGTGTGAGGGAGAGGGTGACAAAGAGAATTAGAGCGAGAGCGAGAATCAACTGTACCCAGAACTTTGTTAGCTTGTTTGCTTTCAGCTGTTTTGGCGTTTCGCACTGTTTGTCCGGGCACAACTTAGTTGCCACAGCCAGCAAAAAATATATGAAAAATGGAGTGAAAAAAAAAAAAAAAATAGCAAGTGAAAACTTGTTTAATTGCAAACAGCTGGTAAAAGTTTTTGCTCGCAATGCAGTAAACGCTTCAGCTGCCACTAACTTGGCTAACTGCACGCACATATACACACACACACACATAGACACAGTCTTTCTGGTAGTCTGTTTCTGCTGTCACAACATTGGCCTTGCGCCGTGATGTGGCATTTTATTCGGGTTTATGTTTAAGCCCTTCATATAAACTTGTCTTTTATGGCTACATTTCGAGCGCGCTAGCGGGATGACTGACAAAAGCAAAAATGAAGAGTGGAAGCGTGCGAGCGGGCCGCACAAGCATTTTACTACATGGCAGAATCTAACTGGCGCTGGCAGCAGCAATTTACGATAAGGTTGCGTATACGTAACCTACCTGCACATTGCGTATACGACGCATCGTTGTGCGTGTGTGGAGGGAGAGGCAGTGGCAGGGCGGAGTGGCTGGGGTTGATTGTGTGTCAGAAGGGGACAGTTTGCTTTTGATGTAAAGAGGCACTCGAGGCAATTTTGCGCTCTTATCCCAATCAACGTACAATAATAGAGCGAGCCAAAACCGAAACGCAACGGACACACACACAGAGGGAGACTCGCACATACACACACACACAAACTGAGATACAACCACAGTCATTCAAGCTGCCATTCCCACTATTACGCTACAACTTTTGTTTTTGCTTAACGTTGTCTCTAGAACGACCATCAGACACATCAGCAACAGGGCCAACCACAGCAGCAACAGCATCAGCATCAGCAGCAGCAGCAGCAGTCCTCGCAGCAACAACAACAACAACAACTAGGGGATGGGCTATCAGGCGACACGTTGTCCTCATTACCACAAGCATCGTTCAACTATATCAACTCCATCGTTGGCAGCGGCGTCATTGGCATACCCTACGCCCTGCACCGGGCCGGCTTTGGCCTGGGCCTTGCACTGCTCATCCTGGTGGCCTACATAACCGACTATTCGCTCATACTGATGGTGAGTTAATGGCGATGGCCAGCAGGCCAGGCGCCACAAATTGCAAATCATTTGCCCGTTACGGAAACGTAGCCGGAAACGGAAATTGAACGCGTGTCTCGCTAACCGTCGCGCCGCAAATTAAATGCATTTCCGTTACGAAAAATCATCACAATTTGCATAATTAATGAATGGGCGACAGAGAGAGAGAAAGAGGGAGGAAGATCCATCCAGGTGCTAAGTCCGATTTATCATTGCAGGTCAGATGCGGTCACATCTGCGGTCGATTCAGCTACCCGGGCATCATGGAGGCGGCCTACGGCAAGTACGGCTACTATCTGCTATCGCTGCTGCAGTTCATGTATCCTTTTCTGGGTAAGTGGCGCTAATCACCAAATTACATTCGTGTATGCCAACAATTTATGACTACACACACACAAACACACAGGTAGCTAACAAAGTTTTGTTATTTTACAGCCATGATATCGTACAATGTTGTCGTTGGCGATACCTTATCAAAAGTTTTGGTACGTTTCTTTCCATCCTGGGGCGATTCGATGGGCGCGGTGCGTTTGGGCGTCGTCTTTTTTGTCACCGTCGGCGTTGTGGTGCCACTGTGTCTCTATAAGAACGTCTCCCGGTTGGCGCGCGCCAGTTTTATTAGCCTGGCGTGTGTCGTCTTCATATTGTTTGCCGTCATCATAAAACTTATGTCGGGCGATTATAAAGTGTGAGTATATGTTTGAGCATAAGTTATTTATGGGTTGGCAAGTTGTATTACAAGCGCGGCTATAGGATTTACCGTTGGCTTGCCAAATATTTAATTCGAATGTCTGACAGTTGGGGCTGAGGGAAATTAAATTTCTGACAGTAAATGGCTATAAATCGAATTTGTTGTGGGGTGTCAAATGAAAGTTAAAGTACATTTTGAAGGCCCAGAATCCTGTGAACTGTGGCATTTGAAATACATTTTCAAGCATCAGTTTGTACGTGGCTGAAATTCGTTTCGGATTGGATTCATATTACATTTTTTTAAATCAATAATAAATGCATTAAATTGGCTGAACTGAAATTGAGCAATATAAATATTTTATACTATCTGTTTCCTACATTTATTTATTGAGCAAAACAAAACTCATAAATATCAAATTTTATAGTTTATAGCTGCAGAGCATTGGCTTATTTATGTATGCCAAATAAAAGTGCGCCACGTATGCATAACAAATTTAATATGCCTATTCATGCATATCATCTGGCTTTAATAAACGAAAAAAGTCATGTGTAGCCAGTAATTAGGTTTTTTATGAAGGTCAAAATAATATCCAAACATATACAGAAGCTTTTTAATGGATCGCTTTATTTTCAATTATGTTCTCATTTTTTTTATATTACTTTAGTTTTGGTAATTGAATTCAGTTGATTTTTTTTTTGTTTTTTTTTTTTTTTTTTTTTTTTTTTATTTTTTTT